ACATTCTCACTAAAAGTTACTAATAATCCAAGCTGAGCACACCCTTGAGAAAATGGGAAATGCCCACCCTTGAGTAAACCCACCCTTGAGTAAACTTTTACCTCATGCCAACACCTTCACAGCTAGGTCTACAGTGTAAACCAACTACTGTTAAGCCATTTCCATCATCCAGTCTATTGTCTTTGCTGCAACCTTGTTCCCCAAGCCCCCCAAAAACCATCTTGTTGTTGTCACTTGGGAAACACAGAGAAAAGGTTCATTCACCAGATGGTGATATCAACCACAATAAGCATGCCTCAGGGACATACCAACGACCTGAGTAAACCTATTGTACCAGCATCCATTTCTTTCCCCCCCTCCTCCTCTCTCTCAAGGGTGGGTCTCAGTCACACCCTTGCAGGTTGGAAGGGTATGTGCATAGGGGCACATGGATGTTCAGGGGGTACTAGGGGTCATATCTATGGTACACTGATGTGCACTTGGGTGGCCAGGGATAGCACATCAGTAAAACTAAAAAATGAAGTTGCTAGTCATAAGAGAGTAGACTGAATAAGCCTTATGTAAGACTAACATTAGCAATTTTAGAGCTGATTAGAACTAATACTAGACTAATATTAGCCCCAATTTAGAAGAGTAAGTTGCTAGTGGTACTAAGACTCTAAAAGGTTCTAATTAGAACTAATCAGACACCTTGCATTTTACTGATGTAGGGGATATCTTTGTTTGACAGATAACTTATCTATCCATCTTTTTATTATCTAGGCTAAACTCAAAAGAATTGTTCCTAATATTGTCCAGGTAATACACTAAAATTATTTATATCATCAGCAGGTGCCCTTATTTCAATCTCAGTATGAATAATATTCTTTTAAGGGTGCAACACGAGTGTATGCTGTGTTGGTCTAACGGTTATGATGGAACCTTCCCAAGGAAGTTAGGTTTCGAACGGGGTTCGACTCCCCGACACAGCAAACTTTTTATATCCAATGACTCTTCCAGTTCAATAGAGAGCAGCCCAAGATATAAGCTTGACATTGGTTGTAATCTTTGTGAATGCATCAGCAAAATGTCCTAGTATATCTATCTACCTTGAAAAAGAAAGCACAAAGCAAGCAATTTTCTGCTTGCTTTATCAGAGTCACTAGAATCTTCCCAATGTGTTGGTTTGAATTCAGACTTCAATCAGATTGGACTTTGCATCAGTAAAATGTAAAGACCAGCATCAGCAAACCTGAAAATTGTTGATTAGTGTTAGGAGACTAGATAATGTAGGAATTAGGTAGTCTTAACAAGATGGTTAGCTCTCTGTGTCTAACGGGTCGTAGTAGTATTTCATAAGCGAGCGATATATTTAGAGCGAGTTGTTACAGTCGAGAGATCAAGGTACTGTGAGTCTGTACCAAAGTTGTCTAAGCTGTGATAAGATCCAACGCTTTCTGGAGAGGATTCTTGAACGGTGTAACGAGCTGTTAATGATGAGCCTACTGCAGTGGTAGAAGGAGGATTGTACCGAAGAGTGTTAAGAGTATCGGAGTTATAAGGAGAACTTCTGTAAGAAGTGTTTGCAGGAGAGTTGGTTGGCGATATGTAAGCCAAAGGCACGTGGTCCACAGAATAGATGGTGGCCAACCGGGTGGCATCAGTGATCGGATTACCTGAGGGGTCCAAAGGGTAGGGAAGTTGAGTATGAGTGACTCGAATAGGAGTCGACCAAGCAATGTAAATCCAAAGTAAGTAGAAATGATCTTCAAGTAAGATGTATGAGTAGTGACAAACTGATACAAACCTGTCAGCGTTTGGAACGAACCTGGTACACTGGAGGCGTGTTCACTAGTAGGAGCACTAAAGTGAGATTCTAGGGAAATGGACAACGCCAGAGTGCTTACTTAGTTAGCACAAATGAAGGAGTATTTATCAGAAAGTTTTATGAGAACTTAGTTCTTAATTCACAATCTTCTAACCAAAGGGCTAGACTCTAAATCAAAGGATTTAGGCACTTAACTAAAGAGTTAAGGGTGTGTACCTTCCGTATACCAAAGGATATAAGGCGCAGTACAAGGCCGAAGGACCTGGACACTTAGGTGATAGGGAGGAAAGACTTAGTGGGTAGAACTTGTTCATAAACTAGTAAGAGTACATGGCCTTATATACTAATCTATGGGAAGTCAAGAAGTAAGAGTACTAGTGGAGTCGTGGGATTCTTACCTGGGGCTGGAGGTGGAAGGCACGGAGCAAGCAAGAAGCTAAAGTGGGGCAGAAGCTCAGAATCGCGGAGTCAGGAGGTGGCTACCTTTGGAGTAAGTAGAGCTAACTTCTAAGGTTCTCAGAAGGATGGAGTAAGGAATTACTAAAGAATTGAGATTATTAACTAATATACAGAACAATTCTTTTTGAGAATGGGAAGAGTAGAAGGGAAGCATACCAACTCCACTTGGAGGGTAGGGACGTCTGAGAACCCAAAGGCCAGAAATCGTATACACACTGCAGAGGTGGAGTCGATAGCTTCTGGGGAAGGGGTTTAGAGGAGTGGGGGAAAAGGGGGCTTCTGTCCGGTCAGTTAGTGGTGCTCAAAGGATAGGAGTCAAGACATACTCTTATCAGTCTTGCATCAGGTAGTTACATTACATCAGCAAAATGACATTTTTCAGTCTAGCTTCAGTCTAGCTGTCTAGTACTTGTCTAGTGTTTGTCTAGCTAGATGACTGTCTAGCTACCCTGGGTTTTTTATAGCACTTGTCTAGTACTAGACATCAGCTAGACTGAATCTAGATAAATGCTACCAAAAATTGAACTTAAGTCTAGCCTTATTAGGCCTCGAAGACCTAAGTGCCCAACACCAAGGGCTAGCGCGCAACAGTGCACAGGAGAGTGGGAATGACTGGAGGTAGGTGTGGGCTGAGGACTGGGATGACCGAGGGAGTGCAGAGGGTGAAGAGGACTAAGGAGAGGGTGTGCTCACTGTGCAGAGCACAGGGGAGCAGCTTGGAGACTCAAGAGCAGGACTGGGGGCTGTTACAATTGGAGCTGCCTTGCGCAGCAGGAGTAACAGTCCCTTGGATAGGAGGAGGTGGAGCTGGCTCAGCCTCCGTATCATAGTTGGTTTCCTCAAACTTAACAGTAGGTGAGTACGACGACTTTCCTCGATGGCTTGTTACTCTTGAGGAGAGAGTATGCCATTGGTGAAGTTCTTCATCCGATGTATCATAATATCTATCATCATCGGAGTTATAGAGTCCACCCGGTACTCTAGTTGATCTATACATGATGCTAAAAGGTTAAACTGAATAAGGGGTGAAAGTGGAGCGATGATGATGTAAGTGGAGCAAGAGAAGCGCAAAAAGGAGAAAAAAGGTTAAACTACTAGAAGGTCAGAGAAGGGTCTGGAAACGTATAGAAAAATGGAAGTAAGGAGAAGGGAATGGAATGGAAGGTGACAGAGCTAGGAGGAAGTTAGTAAACAACAAGAGTGACAAAGAGCAGGAGGTGGAGAGGTGAAAAGAGAAGTAAAGAGACAGCTTGTACAACATGTCATACCCACAATCATAGTCATACAAGTTTTGCTGACGTTCAAGGTGAATCCCTCAACCTATGAAAGTTAGCAACTAAGATACCCAATTACCTATTGGAGTAGTTAGCTTTTGTCTGACAAGAGTACGATACCTCAGTCCACTTGTAAAACAGTTTGGTTGGTTGGTTGGTTCAAGAGCTTACAACGTGACGCATGGTTTGGAGGGGTGAAGAGAGTCAATTCTGGAACTAAGAAAAGTACAAGCTATTTATAGAGAAAGCAAATGAGTCTTTTCATGAGGTCATGGCATAAGAGAGAAGAGGGGAGAAAGGGTGGGAAAGTCCAAGAAGGAGCAGGAGAGAAGGAGAACATTCTGGAACCTACTGGTTGGTTTCCTAATCTTCTAGCGCCAGAAGATTCTATAAAGTTCTGCCAGTAGTGTGTCATCTAATGATGTCATTGAGGAGCTATTGAAGGTACTCACTTTGTAACAGGGGCGACCAAGTTGATTTTCTAGCTAATGTATCTACCTAGAGAATACACAAGCTTATATACGACAACTGAAACACTAACTAAGCAACTAGACAAAGGAGGGGATGATGTGCTGTGGCTGTGTGCCAGCGTGCGCTATCTATGGCAAGGAAACAACAATTGGAGTGAAGCTGAAGGAAAGGGAAGGGAAAAGGGAGTTGTGGGGGTCACAGAGGTGGTGCATAGGTGCGCATAGGAGTGCATGGGTGTACTAGGGGTACTAGGGTTGTATCTATGGTGCAGAGTGGCCAGAGATAGTGCAGAGGTGTGCAGGGGCGTAACAAGCCTGCATCTAGCTGGTGTCTAGTACTAGACAAGTGCTATAAAAAAACCTGGGGGTAGCTAGACAGTCATCTAGCTAGACAAACACTAGACAAGTACTAGACAGCTAGACTGAAGCTAGACTGAAAAATGACATTTTGCTGATGTAGCTAGAACATCAACTTAGTTGTCCCCTCCCTTTAGGGGAAAGGGACAAAGGGTGGAAGAGAGGACAAGGTAAGTGGAAAAGGGAGGTTGAATAGTTGCTTTCCCAATTGGGAAGGCAACTAGAAGCAGCCTTCAGAGGGAATGGCAGCTGGCTGTGACAAGTAGAGGAAGGGCTTGGAAGGGGGAAGGAGATGGCTCTAAGGTAGATGGAGGGTAGATAGGGGTGTGTGAAGGTCTACAGAGGTGCATAGGGTCCCAAAGAGGTTGCATCCAGGCCATGCTAAGGTGCACTGGGGCACAAGGCAGCAGAGGAGCACTAGGAGCACTGGGGCATGACAGGAGTGCAGGGCAGAACAGCCATCAGAGAGAGGGGTCAATGGAGACTAGGGTATAACACTAAGCACATACAGTTTGTTCAAGACTGATAAACTTTCATTACCACAATCTCTGCATGATTGGCATTGAGTATTCCTCCTGCTGACCATCCTATGGTGTTCTCACCCTTATGGCTCTCTCTCTACCTTGTTTCAAGGCCTTTTGCATATAATGCAGAGTGTAACATTCATTTTTGCTGCACTTCAGAGGAATTTTGTGACTTCTTTAGGTAGGCTGTGGCTACAGACAACTTCTATGAAAGCTATCCGCAATTGATTAAAGGTATTATTTTTCAATCATTTACACATTTATGACAATGACCTGTTGCGGCAATCTCTGCACGATAACCCAAGTGCTGGCGGCAAGTTGGATTTCGACTCATACTCGCACGTCTCCGGCTAGGCAACGAAATGACGACGACATATCAGCACGAGGGGTGGCGCAATCATCTCGACAGCTTACTCGACATGCATATGCGTGCATATCTTGCAATTAACTCTGCAGAATTCATCCTGGGCGAAACGAAAAAGGTAAGACTCATCACATTTGTATTGCCTTCCACGGCCCTCGAGCTTCTAGGTGCTGAATACACACACAGGCCCTGTTACATCATCTTTCTGTAGCTCCTGAAAACCCAATCTTGCACCCTCACCCGCCAATGGACAAATTGGGCCAAAGCGACCATGATCTACAGGCCGTGTCTATCGAGGAAAAATGGAACGCACTTCCAAGCTCTGTTGAATATCTTCGAACTGTTCTCGTTGGGGCTCGGTCGATAGCAGCGTTAGGTGGACCAGGTAACAACCTTTGGTGTCCTGAAAGTGCATCTTTCTCAGCTTTAATTGGCTTAAAAGGCTCATAAAAGCTCGATAGACGATATTTTTACCCCAAGGTTATTCGAAACGACGATCTTGAGGGTACGGGATCTGGAAAAGACCTCTTCCTGTAACTGGCACCCTTCAAATCGAGTTAATTCAGAAGTAGAACCCGTCACGACAAAAAACTCGTCCCTTGAAATGAGTCTAACTGCTGTTCCGATCGAAGATTTGGCAAGTCCTTGCAAGAAGGCGGCCTCTGGAATGTACGTGACACATTGTGATTGGCGGTTGTATGGTGTATTTGATCTTA